AGCTGGAATGGGACAATGAACTCCAAGGTGCCAATGGAGCAGAACTGATCCCAGGGAGAGCCCCCGGGAGCGCTCGTGCATTTTGGGACCATTTTGGGTCATTTGGGTGCAGCCCTGGCTGGGCTCTGGTGCTGCCCAAGGTGGATCCATGGAGGAGATCCTTTAATAAATCCCTGCTCTATTCCTTAGCTCTGTGCAGTCCCTGTTCTAGGGCAGCCCTCACAGGCATCACCCAGAGCCTGGAGCCCATCAGCTCTGGCCCCAGCAGGAGTTGGATTCATCCCTTGGGATGTTTCTCCATCCTCCCTGACTGCCAAGCCCTGCTGGGCATGGACACAGAGCCCTGGGGTTTCTCCAGCCAGGAACCAGCACTTTTCCTGTTTTTTACCCTTGGGAGATGATTCCTCAGGCCAGAGGGAGGTTTGGAATGTGATGCCCATCACCTGCTCCTTCCTCCATCCCAGCAGGACAGCGAGGAGTGCCTGAGAACACCTTGAACCCAGTGAAGCCAGTGGATACAGAACAGGAAAAAACACTGCTGGAATCATCCCCCCTCCCACAAAGAGCCAGATTTGTCCTTTACAAAGACATTAATTCCCCCATTTTCTCTGAGGGTGGGAGGTTGAGGGCACCCCTGGGCTATGCTGAGTGTTTGGGGTTTTTCCTCTGGGGTGTTTCCAACAGGCTGGAAACACTTCCAAGCCTCCTCTCAGGGAATAAATGTCGCAGCAGTACAACTGCCTCCCTACCCGCTGGAAATGGCTCATGTAACACAGGCAACCCCTGGAAACAAAATTAATTTCTTTTTATCAGATCAGCCTGGCCTGATCCATTTCCAAGCAGACACAGTCTCCCAGACTTGGGTGTTTCTGCCCCAAAAAAGGTCCCTCAATCCTCTCTGCAGGGCTGGGGGATCCCCAAATTTCTCCCAAGCTGCAGGCTCTGGCTCAGGCTATGCAACCTGGATGAGGCAGTGCCTGGAGCCTGGAGTCATCTCCTGCCTGGCACTTGAGGGCCAGGGAAGGGCAGCATCCTCCAGGCAGTTCCTGCTTTTCTTTTCAGGCCCCTCTAAAGTTTTTCCTGGAGGTTTTTTTCCCTTTTTTTTAATTGTCTCAACAGATGCCTCAATTTATCAATTATGTGGATAGCAAGGAACGCAGGCATGGTGTAATTTCCTGGAAAATGGGCCAAATCCTGTTGTTACTTTAATCATAAAACTTTCATTAAACCATTTCTGGTTCCACACAGACACTCTGGAAATGGAAACGCAACATGAGACACTCCCCACTTAGAAAAACAAACGTTTCCTTGCCATGATCCATTAAAAAGCAAATTCTTCCCTCCCTCTCTGTGCTCACAGAGCCTCACCTGCAGCAAACTCACCCCAACCTGCAGAACTCAGGGAGGATCAAAGAATCCCACCTGGCACATCCTCCTTCCTTCCTAAATACCCCAGTGATGTCCCAAGGAGCTCAAGGACCCACCAGCACGGGGATGTGGGCAAAGAGCAAGGAAGAGGCACTGGAGATGTTTGGTGGAATTCAGGAAAAACCCCCCTGGATCAGGAAAAACCCTCCTGGATCACCTCAGCAGCAGAAGGGAGAACAAGACAGCTGCACCTGCCAGGATAGGATTTAGGGAGAAGGTGGGTAAGGTTTCCACTCTCCAAATCCCAAATCCATGGCAGGGGCAGCAGATCCCCTCCTCTTGAACATCCCCTGCTCTTTCCCTGGTAATGAAAGCCAAAGAAGCAGGGAGAAGTCCCCTCTGGATTAAAGGTGAGGAAGGGAATGAATTCCTGAAAAACGCTGGATCTTGGCAGCTCGGAGGTGAAAAGTCCCTCCCTCAGCTGTGCTGTCAAGCCTGATTACAGCTTAAGCTCATTTCCAAACGCCAAGCCCGGAGGATTTAGGGCTCTCCCTCCCTCCCTGCTCTCCTCTGACCCAGTTTTGCAGAGCCTGGTGTTTCTAGAGGGGCTGTGCTGGCTCTGGGAGATGTCTGAGCATCACTGCCATGGCTCCAGGAATGGGATAAATCCACAGGACACTTGTGTGACAGGCACAGCTCCCACTGCCTGCTCTGCTCTTCCCTGTCCCTGCTCATCCTGAAGGACAGAATTCCAGCCAAGCCAAAGGGCTGGAGCGCTGCTGTGCCACCCACAGGCACCAATGTCATGGATGGCACGTTCTGTCACCTCCACTGCAGCTGCAGCAGCCCATTTCTGCAGGAACTCTGTCTTTAGCCCCAGTATTTCCCCCAGTTCTCCTCTCCCTTTCTCCTACATCTCCAGCCCAAACAAGACTCCCAGGAAAAGGGGAATGATGGGACTGTAACCAGTGAGAAGGTCAAGAAATCCTCACGGGAGCTTCAGGTGGAGCAGCAGCACTGAGAGTTCTCATCCCACTTTGGGACGTTCCCATCCCACTTTGGGATGTTCTCATCCCACCTTGGGACGATCTCATCCCACCTTGGGATGTTCCCATCCCACCTTGGGACATTCCCATCCCACTTTGCAGAATAAACAAAGCAGCCAGGGCTGCCTTGGCTCTACCACAGTTTCTAGGTTTCCTATTTTAGGGATGCTTCCTCTTGCTCCACACAGCTCGTGGCTGCAGCCACAGAATCAGTCACAGAATCACAGGATCACAGGATCAACCACAGAACAAGTCACAGAATCACAGAATCAGTCATGGAATCACAGAATCAATCACAGGATTACAGAATCAATCACACAATCACAGAACCACACAATCACAGAATCAATCACAAAGTCACAGAATCAATCACAAAATCACAGAATCACACAACCTCAGAATTAACTAGGCTGGAAAAGCCCTTTGAGACTAAGTCCAACCTAGACCTGACACCGCCTTATCACCCAGAGTCACACTCAATTTCCCCTTAAACACTCCAGGGATGGGGACTCCAAACCTCCCTGGGCAGCCCCTTCCAATGCCCAACTGCTCCTTCAGGGAAGAACTTCTCCCTAAGGTCCAGCCTAAACCTCCCCTGGCACTGTCACAGAGCATCAGCCACCACTGGCACAGGGACAGGGCCACCACAGCCCCTCTGCCCTCCCAGCTCTCCTCACACCCAGCTGCTCCATCAGGGAGCTGCTCTGCTGGTTTGTGTATAAAATATAAAATACAGCCTCCCTTCCCAAATCCCATCCCGGTGCCACTCTGTCCCTGCCTCCTCTGGGACACACCACCCCTTCCCCTGGGACACTGGGGGGATGGAAGTTCCCAGTTTCTTGTTACCCTCAAGAGATTTCATCTCTCAGAACAAAGCAGACACGTCATGTGCCAAGGCTTGGAGCACTGAATGCTCCCAGAACCTGAAACCCAAGACCCAGAATTAAATTTTAAGCATTATGTGGAGATGAGATAATTCTGAGCATTTGGGACACAGCTGGTTAGGGTGCCCTAGAGAAAGGCACCAAGAGAATGGAGCCTCATCTCCACCATCATCTACTCACCTCCACCAAACCCATCTCAATCCTCCCCTGACTAAAAACAAACTGTGAAGATATTCAACATCCTGCTCTGACCTGCCCTCAATTATTTCTCCCACAATCTAAATTAACTCTTAATAGAACATTTTCAAGGCAAAACACAATAATGAAAACAAAATTCCTTTAAATTAAATGAAAAAATTCTTACGTTGCTGTAAGAAAAGCAACACCAAGTTGGACAACTCACCTTCAGTGCTGTCAGGAGCAAAGCCACAGCAACAATTTGCCTTCAAAAGGATGAGGCTGTGAGAATTTAGGGAAAACTGGGGATTTCTAGCAGCATGGGTAGGACTGTGCCACCAAGGGTGCCCGTGGAAGGATACAGTTACCAAAGAGGGTGAGGACGATGAAGTAGATGGAGGAGAACATTCCCGAGTGGACGCCGCCCTGCGACTCTATCCCGTGGTACATCACAGCATTCCAGTCCTCCCCCGTCAGGATCTGCACAGAGCAGGGAGGCACAGAGAGAAACTCAATTTCACTCACAGGGAAGGGTGACCTTGTCTCTCTGTGCAGCTCCTGGAAGGTGGCTGTGCTCAGCTGGGGCTGGGCTCTTTCTCCAGGAACTGACAGAACCAGAGCACACAGCCTCAGGCTGCACCAAGGGAAATTTAGGTTGGATATTAGAAAGTTTTGTACAGAATGAGTGATAAAGTTCTGGAATGGCTGACTGGGGAGGTGGTGGAGTCACCATCCCTGGGTGTGTTTAACAAAGCCTGGATGTGGCACTGGGTGCCAGGGTTGAGTTGAGGGGCTGGGGCTGGGTTGGACTTGATGGTCTTGAAGGTTTCTTCCAAGCCAGTGATTCTGTGAATTCTGTGAAAGGAAGTTTTGGGGGAGTCCGGCAGAGCAAAGCTACCAAGGAACATCCCTGGGAAATGAGGAGCACATGGGGGACACCAAGCACAGCATCACCACATGGGGGAGGGAGAGATTGTCCTGCTCTGCTCTAGGCTGGGGCAGCCTCACCCCCAGTGCTGGGGAGTTTTGGGTGTCTCAATATCAGAAAAAGATCTAAAGCTGTGAGAGAGCATCCAAGGAGGGCAGGGATGGGGCAGGGTGTGGAGGGGCCCGTGAGGAGCAGCTGAGGGCACTGGGATGGTCCAGCTGGGGCAGGCTGAGGGCAGAGCTCCCCAGGGCTGCAGCTCCTCCCTGGGGCAGCTCCAGCTCTGCCCTGGGACAGGGACAGGAGCCAGGGCACGGCTGGAGCTGGGCCAGGGCAGCTCAGGCTGGAGAGCAGGAAAGGTTCTTCCCCCAGAGGTGCTGGCACTGCCCAGGCTGCCCAGGGAATGGGCACGGCCCCGAGGCTGCCAGAGCTCCAGGAGCCTTTGGCCAGCGCTGCCAGGGATGCCCAGGGTGGGATTTTGGGGCTGGGTGACCCTGCCCTGCCCCTCTGGGTCACCTGCCCACTGCCCACCTTGACCAGGGGCTCTCGCACAGGCAGAGGAAACAAAATCCACGTTCTGACCCTTCTTTCTGCCCCTCTCCCTTTCTAAGCCATGCAGAGATCCCAGATCCCACCAGACCCATGCAGGGCACTTCCCACAGCCCCAAGAAAGCCCTGAGCTCCCAGAGCAGTGCCCTGAGTGGGATCCCTGCCAGTGCCAGCCCCTCTCATGCCCTTCCTGCAGGCAGGGCTGGGTTTGCTCAGCTCCCCCAGCCCTCACTCCCTGTCCCCAGGAGCTCTGTCACCTCCTGCCACCCTCCTCTGCCCCTCGGGGCTGGCAGAGCCTTCCTGCAGCTGGAATGTGCCTGGGCATCTCTGCCGGGCACCACGACCACTGCAGGGGCTGCACACCACAGGTTCATCTTCAGTTTGCCCAGGTTTGACCCAGAGGGCCACAAAGCCCCAAAAAATTCCCTAAATAGAAACAACAACCTCGTGTGTGAGTGAGGACAGAGCAGGGGACAGCTTGAAGGGGACTCTGGTCCTCCTTGTCCTTGGGCAGGGACAAGCACAGAGCTGCACCTCTGATTATCGACCCAGAGCTAATTAACAAATACAGGAATAATAGGAAAACTAATCAGTCTGCAAGACTCCAACAAGCCCTGCCATGCTAAATGCTCATTTTGCACCCGTCTGAATTGTCTGGCATTCCTTTCTTCCCAAAATCTGGGCACATCAGCACATCCGCTGCCTGCCCTGACAGAGTCAAACAATGACCACTTTTAGTGCATTAAAACACTGGGATGTGAAGATCCAGCTCCTAAACAGAAAGCTGTCTTTGGGTTTAGGAGGTGAAAAAAATATAACCAAAAAACAACAACAACAAAAAAAAAGAAGATAGAAAGCCCTAAGCCTGATGCATGCTGTAGTAATGGACTTCCATGTGCACACAGGATGCTTGGAATGACTGAAAACTCCTGCCTGCAAATTCCTGCTTGCAAACTCCAGCCTGCAAATTCCAGCCTGGCTGTCAGCTGCTGAGAGTAAGGAAATTTCTGGCTGCAGGGATGGTGCTGATGACAGCACTGGGCAAGAGCGAGTCCAGACACAAGGACACCCAGTGCAGACACCAACTCCTCTCCCAAATGCACAATTCAACCTCAAATGATTCCAAAATCAGGATTCAGACCCAACACTGCTGGAGCTACTCTGGATTTGCACCACAGAATATGGAACAGGGCTTTGGGCTTTCAAACCTGCCACTCAATTATGCAAAGTATTGTCCACAAATGTGCATTTATAGAATTTCCATGAATTCACAGCTGCTCCTGCTTTCTGGGAATAGCCATAAAGTGATTTCTGATCACACAAATATTCATGAAAAGGGAAACCACTGGGAACTTTTCTATTCCCAAGGAGAAGACCAGGATTTGCAGGTATGACAAAATCCAGCAGGGTCTGGATTCAAAATCCAACTTTTGGATTATTTAGGAGTGGAATAAAAAGTTCAAGGAAAAAAAAAAAAAGAGACGTTTTATGGGGCTTTTGCAGAGAGATAAATAATCTAAACTGAGCAGCCTGCCTGGAGAAGCTGAGGATGCTCCCTGAGGCCCTGGAAAGAGGAGCCACTGTCCTTCCCATTGTCAGCTGCAGGAACTACTTAAGTAATTAGGGAGCAGCCTGAAGGATCCAGGATCTGCTGGCTCTGTCCTCAAGCAGTTAATGAAATTCCTTCTGCTCTCTCAGGTCTCTTTAGGGATGCTGTAAGGAATTTTTGCTGAGCAGAGGGAAGGACAGCACTGCAGAGGGAGAGGCACAGGCAATGAGGACTCGGGAGCAAGGGCACAGGTACCTGACACAGAACTCTGCTCTCCAGAGGCTCTGTGCTCATGGGAGCTGTTTCTGTGTGTGTTTTGATTATTTTTGTTATTCCCTGGACTTCAAACTGCCTTCAGCTGCCCCAAATGACCATTTGGAGTGCATCACACTGTTTAACACTGAGGAGCCAGCAGAGGATGGAATAAAACAGCCATCAAGAGCTGCTGTGAAATGTTAATGGAATAATGAGCAGGTTAAGGGTGGGAGAGGAACAGGAACAGGA